ATTTACAAAGCCTGCAACAATTGACATTTACCGTAGTGGAAGATTTACTGATCTTTTTGGGCGTCTGCTGAATATTCTCAGTTGACATTCGGTTTGAAGCGCTTCACGTGTAGTTTGTTTTTATTGCCAATAAGCCACGCTCGACAGTGGACTAAGTGGAGAGAAAATCCCACTTATCTGCCCTTCCCTCAAACCGCTAATTTGAAATCTCCTAAAATCTGGGAGACACGTGACCAGCCTAAACCAGGGTCTCTCCTCGCTCGCTCCAGGGGGCAGGAAGATGAGAGACCCTGGGAACGAGGTTTCCCAGGACAGCGATACGTTGTGCAGGGCACATCGACTTTGTTTATTCGACAATAGATAAGCTGAACATTTACAGCTGGACACGACGATTGCCGTCTCAGGCTTAGATTTCAAGATGGCAGAGGTCGCGAACGAATGCAAGAGCGAAAACTTAAAGCGAAAACGGAAACACAGCCGGAACCCGCATTCAAAGGATTGGAATAAAAGGAGGAAACTCGAACCCAGCAAAAGAAACCGAGATGCGAAGAAAACTCGGATTATCCAGCCTCAATTGCCACAAACTGCCACAGAAATATCGTCCAACTGGAAGGCTTTACATGCGGTGAGGAGGACTTCTAAATCTTTTGATTGCCAATATCTAAGCGTTGATCAACCTTAAATACCAACACAAGCTCGGTCAATAAGTTATTTTGTTATATAGCGGAAAGATTCATCTTTATTAAGAATGACTTGTTTGTTTTAAGAGCGGAGAAAGATAGCTAACCGTGTTTTTCAGCAGCATAATAGATACACGAGAGTCATTTATGCGCTCTTTGTTTTGACTGCCTTCTTCCGCTTTTTGTAACTCCATTTCCGACTTTGTCTAAAAATTTTTCAACTTTGTAAGTCTACTGCAAGCTATCTTTTTCTTGTGCAGGATCAAAACAGGCAAACCTGAGTGGGCCCATCTTGTCCACTCAAGTAGCTGATCAGAGCACAGAATTGGTTTCACAGTCGTTGCCAACGATATAGTTTTACCAA